TTTCGGATGGTTGTGGGGCGATTTTGGAGCCTCCCAGGCGGCTTCGGACGCCCAGAAGACCGCCGTCTTGGAGCGTCGGGAAGCCGAAAAAAGGAGAACCCTACAATTCACCCAACACCCACAGAAAATCAATGATTTTTGCCTCGGGGGGCCTTTTTGGGAGTGCTCTTGGAGGCCTCTTTGGGGCCGTCCTGCAGGTCTCTTGGACCATCTTGAGGTCACGTCGGTCACTCTTAGAGCGCTCTTGTGCTGTCTTGGGGGTCGCTGGGACGTCTCCGATGACCCCCCTGATCGCCCTAGGTGTGCTGGGAAGGTTTGGCAAAACGCCATGTGAGGCCCGGTGGCCGCTTCGAGGCCCGTCTGGAGGGTCCCAAAGCCCCAGATGCCGGGAGTGCTGTTTTTTGGGGGGTGATGGGCTTTCCCCCGCCCGGGTTGATACACATATAGGAAGAGGAATGTATACATATACATATATATAATATATATATATATATATACACATACATACATACATACATACATACATACATACATACATACATACATACATACATACATACATACATACATGCATACATGCATACATGCATACATGCATACATGCATACATGCATACATGCATACATACACATAAATATGTAGTTATGTCTGTACATATGTATGTTTGCGCATCCATACATATTCACGCACATATACATATAGCTGTGTACACATGTATACATGCCTATCAGCATATACATCAGAGTATGATGATCGATGTACACAAATATGTGTATAGTTATAGTGTTGTATTATACATATTGGGGGCCTCGCCCACATTCGGCGTTGGCCCCCCCCCTGGCGGCGCCTCCAGTGCCGCCTGTGGCGCGCCCCGCGCGCCATGGAAGGGGGTCTGGCGCCGATCCAAGAAAGTCGTGCGGATCTCCGAGCATTTTTTTGTTACGCCGTTTTTTGTTGTTGTTGTTATTTTCCTCTTCTTCTTGTCCCCCTCGAGGGGTTGGGCGGGCAGGTGGCGCAAGTGGTCCTGCAGTCGAAACCGATAGTATGGGTGATCGGCTTGATCCCAGGGGTACCCTTGCATCCTTGCCTCTTCGATCATCTCTGGTCCCTCCGCATCCACTTTCGGTGACCAGCCCCGCTCGACTAGCCTCGGCATGGGCGCCCAAGGCCCTTGCATCCCTACCGCGCATCTTCACCGTCAGTTTGGACGGCATCGCGCCACCCAGGCCACCGCCCCAGAGTCACGAGAACGGCCCCTGCCCATTGCGTCGTTGCGCGCGCCTGCCTCGTCTTCTGCCAGCGGCCCCTGGGGGCTCCGAGAAGACGGTCTCCAGGCGCGGCCGGCCAGAATTGGCGGGAGGCCCACGCTTCGGGGCTCCAGGGGCGGGGGGCACTTCAAGCGGGGGTCCGCCAGAGCGCCGGATCGTGCAGGATCCTGCGGGGCCAAGGGTGCACTGACCCAGGCTAGCGCGCAGGATTCCGCAGGATCCTGCAGCATTTTGCAGTCTCTTGGAACCGGCCCGGCTGGCCCGCCCGGGTTTGCATTGACCCGGGTCAGTGCGTCCCTGAGCGTCCATGAGTTGGGTGCGGGGCGTTGCAGGTCGGGGCCGCGGGGCCCGCTCTGTGATGCCGAGGGGTTGGAGCAGTGAGGAGGTGAGACAGTGGATTTTGTAAGGCTGGCGTGTGACTGGCGTTCGGGCACAATGACTGGCAGCTTGACCTGCGAGATTTAGGCTACGTCTGACAGGGCTTGCCTGATTATCGCTGACTCGGATCGCCGCGTCGCCACCCGAGGCCGCCTAAAGGCCGCCTGGTGGCCGCCTCCTTGCCGCCCACTTCGGGGGTCCGCCGAGGTTTCGCCGCATCGCCGCCCGTGGCCGCCTCGTGGCCGCCTTGTTGCCGCCCTCTTGGGGGGCCCGCGGGAGTTTCGCCGCGTATCCGCGCGTGGCCGCCTCATGGCCGCCCAGATGGGGCCTCCGCCGAGGTTTCGCCGCATCGCCGCCAGTGGCCGCCTCGTGAACGCCTCGTTGCCGCCCACTTGGGGGGGTCCGCCGAGAGTTCGCCACGTCGCAGCCCGTGGCCGCCTCGTTGCCGTCCACTTCGGGGGTCTGCGGAGGCTTCGCCGCGTCGCCGCCCAAGGATGCCTCGTTTCCGGCCACCTGGGGGGCCGCCGGGGTTCCGGCGTGTGGCCGCCTCGCCCACTTGGGGCGTCTGCGGAGGTTTCGCAGCGTCGCCGCCCGTGGCCGCCTTCTGGCCGCCTCGTTGCCGCCGTGACTTCGCCGCGTGGCCGCCGCGTGGCAGCCCGCCGAGGCTTCGCCGCGTGTCGCCGTCCGTGGCCGTCGCGGCGCCGCCCACTGCGCTCGAGAAGCCCGCCAAGACTTCGCCGTGTTTTTTTTGTTTTTGCCGGTGGCCGCCCTGTAAGCGCCCACCGCGCTGTGTTTGCACTCAGGGGTTTTCATCTCCTTCTGAACTTAGCGGGCCACATACAGTACCCCGCACCGTATGCCTAGCACCAAATACCCTCCACCACATGCCGCATTGGTTCCGCAGCATACCTTGCCCCACATGGCTTCCATCATGCATCTTGCAGTGCGCAGCTGGCACCGCATAGCTTGCCCATTCACAGTACGATAACTTATTGATTGGGGTCCATGCTGGCGAACATTAGATATCAGTATACACATGGACATCTATATATGTGTATATATATATATATAATTGATGTAGGTTTCACGCTCTCTGCTGTTATCTCTCTTTTTCTCAGGTTCCCTCTTCCTTTCTCGTTTATTTCTCTCTCTCTCTCTCTTTGTTCTCTCTCTCTCTCTCTCCCTCTTCCCCTGTCAGTGAGCTGCTTGCTGGCTTGCGTCCGCTCTCAGCTCTCTCTCTCTCTCTCTCTCTCTCCCACTGTCCAGTTATGTATATATATATATACAAGACTGCAGTGGCGCTTCGCGCCATGCACCTTGGTCCTTGAAGTTTGGTATGCAGGCGGAATAGCTGGAAGGTCAAGCCGACAATTTAGCGATAACTCCTGGTTGCCTTTTTCTGGCATCGCCGCTATAATAATGTTTTTCGTAATCCCTTCTCCATGTTTCCTTTTCCTTATGTTCGCCATGCCCTGCGCATTCTTCCCATCCTCCTCAGCTCTTTTTTGCGGAGGCTCCTCCTTGGAGAGCCTCTAGGGGCCTCACACAAGTTTTTCAGGCTTTCTTAAGGTCTTCTGGAGACCTCCTGGGCGTATTCTGGGGGCCTCCGGGGGCTTCCTCGGGCCACCCTGCCTCCAACCGCGGTCTCCCTGAACGACCGAATCACGATTTGGAATTCTTCGGAGGGTGTCTTTGGGCCATCTTGGGCCGCCATGGGGCTCTCTGAGGGCCATCCTGGACCCGTGTTGTGCCGTTTTGGGGCTCTCTTGGACTGCCTGGAAACCCTTTCGGATGGTTGTGGGGAGATTGTGGAGCCTCCCAGGCGGCTTCGGACGCCCAGAAGACCGCCGTCCTGGAGCGTCGGGAAGCCGAAAAGAGGAGAACCCTAAAATTCACCAAAAATGATTTTTGCCTCGGGGGGCCTTCTTGGGAGTGCTCTTGGAGGCCTCTTTGGGGCCGTCCTGGAGGCCTCTTGGGCCATCTTGAGATCACGTCGGTCACTCTTGGAGCGCTCTTGTGCTGTCTTGGGGGTCTCTGGGACGTCTCCGATGACCCCCCTGATCGCCCTAGGTGTTCTGGGAAGGCTTGGCAAAGCGCCATGTGAGGTCCGGGGGCCGCTTCGAGGCCCGTCTGGAGGGTCCCAAAGCCCCAGATCCCAGGAGTCCGTTTTTTTTGGGGGGGGGGATGGGTTTTCCCCCCGCCCGGGCTTATAAAAATATAGGAAGAGGAATCTACACACACACACATATATATATATATATATATATATGGATGCGTCCGTCTCCCAAGTGGCGTGCCGCGTCTTCGTTTCCCCGCTCGCTTGTGCTTGTCACGTCTTTTGCCGCCCACCTCCGACCCGCCTCCTCGGCGGCCTCGACCCGTATCCGGGCGAGGTGCAGGACCTCTCTGTGCGGTGCGGGGGGTATCCTGCTGCCCCCCTGGCGTCGCACCGCCCTGCCGCGGGCCCAGCGCTCCTCGCCGCTGTGCCGAAGGCCCGCGGCGCCTGTCGACTGCCCCTGCCGCCTACAGGCGGGAGGGCCCCGGGGCGGGCGCTCTGCGCGCCGGCCCGCTCGGGGGCGCGGCGCGGCGGACCGAGCCCCGCGCTGCGCCGCGCCCTCCTCGGACGCGCGGCTGGGCGCGCCGGCAGTGCCCAGAGAGCGAGAGAGAGAGAGAGAGAAAGAGAAAGAGAGAAAGAGAGAGAGAAAGAGAAAGAGGGCTACATCTCTAGAGAAAGAGAGAGGGAGGGAGAGAGGGAAAGCGAGAGCGAGAGCGCTCACCGATCGAGGTCCACTTTGGCTAGCATGTATCTGTCAATGTGTACAACATGTCTATAAGCGCACCCACATGCACACATCTTTATACATATATGTACATGTGTAGCGAGGGAGAGAGAGAGAGAGAGAGAGACAGAGAGCGAGAGAGAGAGAGAGAGAAAGAGAGTCATATAAAGACGTAACGACATTGTCACACACTATTTAAAATTGTATACATAAATGATAACACGAATGTGCACATACATATGATAAATACAAATGTGTACACACATAATATACACATATACAGTTACAGTAGAACCTATGACAACATGGGAGAAAGAAAGAGAGAGCGAGAGAGAGAGAGGGAGGGAGTGGGAAACGAGAGATGGAGAGCGAACGCGAGAGCGAGCCCAACAAACACACACACACATACACACACATATATATACATATATATATACATACATATATACATACACTCATGTAAATATATATGTATAGCTAGATGTGTACATGTGTATACATATGTGTGCGTGTCAGGTAAAGGAGGGACAGAGAGAGACAGAAAGCCAGACATGGCCAACCTTCAGAGAGAGAGCCCACCCCCAGGACGGCCTCCGCCACTCAGCGGGCTGCAGCAGCATTGGCAGCGCCGCGGGCGGCCTCCCCAGGCATCGGAGGGCAACTCGGGCCCTCCCCCCCGCTTCTCGCGCCATTTCGGAACCCCCTGGGGCTCTCGTCGTTCGCTCGCCGTCGCTCGCTACCGCCGCCAGCGCCGCCGCCGTCGCCGCCGCCGTCGTCGTCGTCGTCGTCGTCGTCGTCGTCGTCGTCGTCGTCGTCGTCGTCGTCGCCGCAACGCTCGTCGTCGTCGCAACGCGCGTCGTCGTCGCTCGTCGGTCAACGCCGAATTCGTCGTCGTTCGTCGTCGTTGTCGTCGTTAGTCGCCGCCGCCGCTCGTCGCCTCTCGTCGCTCGTCTGTGTTCCTGGCCCACTGTGCCCCCCGTGCTTCGCGCCAGTCTGGAGCCCCTGGATCGCCTTCCGGGCCTCGGCATGGGGCGCCCTGGGTGCCAGTTGGGGGCCTCCATGGGAGAGCTGGGGGGCACCTTTGGGGCAGGGCCAGAATCTGCTCAACATCGGCCTCCTCCTCCTCCTCCTCCTCCTCCTCCTCCTCCTCTCCTTTTCTCCTCCTCCTCCTCCTCCTCCTCCTCCTCCTCCCCCTCCTCCTCCTCCTCCTCCTCCTCCTCCTCCTCCTCCTCCGCCGACACCCACCTCGGGACCCGTCCCCGTGCCCACCTTCGTCAGCTCCCCGCCCCGAATCGGTGTTCGACTTGGGCCGGGAGCCCCGACCCTCCTTGCCCGCAGAATGGAGCAGTGCGTTCGGTTCCGAATGTACTTGAAGCATTTGGTAGACGTGATACCGGAATCGGATTGTAATCTGTCGCTGCTCCGGACAACAGGGCTTCTTGGCAGTATTGGGAGGCACCATGTGGCAATCCGATCTGTACTGCAGGGCAGGAGAGAGCGGCATGGCAAGTCGAGTCATCAGACAGGTGCGGGGCAATATTCTTTCGGAAGGGGGGTTGACGCAATATTCTCTCAGGAGGAGGCTCTCGAGCCTCCCGGGGCTGAATATGCTTGCGCAGGATATAGACGCCAGCGGGTCGGGCGTCGTGAGCGAGCAGAGTCTAACCGATTTGCTTGCGTCTCTGGCGCCTGAGAACGTGTTGCGTGCATACGCGGAGGCGCGCGCCTCTGGGGCCCTCCTTGCCATAGGCGCCAGAGAGCCGCCTGGCAGAGGAGATGCTTGGGTTGGCCAGACGCCTGGGAGCGCGGAAACTTCCGACGCCTGGGCACCACCTCCCCTCTGTGGCGGATGGCTTCGCGGCTGTGGAAGAGGCGAGAAAGACCGCGATGCGATTGATTCCGCGTCAGGCGAAGAAGGTGATAGGGGATTCTGATCATGACCGCTCCGTGCATGACGAGGGCCAAGATGTCGTGTGAGAAGTGGTGGAGGATGGTGGCGCGCGATCTCGGCGCCAACAGGCAGAAAAAGCTTGCTATGATTCTGGCTCGGACACCAGTTCCGACCGCCGTTCCAATGACGGCTCCGACGCCGTCCCCATTTTCATATACAGTTGTTCGACAGACGCCAGCTCCGAGGCCGACTCGGATTGCAGTTTCGATTCTTTTCCGACCGCCTCACCAACGTTGGCTTCGACGTTGGTTCCAACACGAGCTCCTGTTCCTGCTCCGACTCCCGCTCAGACAGCCGCTCAATCGCTGGGTCCCACGTGCCGACGCCTTGCACTGCAGCTGCACCGACGGCCGCGCCGACCAAAACGACGACCGCGTGCCCACGCATTCGAAAAGCCGCGCCAGCCATATGAGGCAATTGGGTCACACTGTGCTACTGCGTCTACTTCTGAATCCGCGTAACATTATGTACGATCGAGGGGCCTGGCGAGGAGGTCCATGGGCCGGCCACTGTTTTTTTTGGGGGGGGGGGTCGCCTTCTCATCGTAGTCTTTGTTGGCGGCCCATCCCACAGTTCCAGACTCCGGAGGAGGAGGGGGAGGAGGCGGGGGAGGAGGAGGAGGAGGAGGAGGAGGAGGAGGAGGAGGAGAAGGGGGAGGAGGAGGAGGAGATGGAGCAGGAGGAGGAGCAGGAGGAAGAGCGGGGAGGACGATCCAGCCCTAGAGGGCTTCCAGGCCGCGCATATTCAGTGGAACGCCCCCGATGGGGGCAGGCGCCGCCGCCCCACCTTCTGTTTGGCCTGGTCGTTTTGCCAGGGAGAGTACGGATCGTGCACGACTTGCATCCGAGGAAGATACGGAGGAGTAGTCCAACGCACAAGCGAGCGAGCACAGCGAGATTACGCAAGAACTGGCCACCACAAGTGCCGTTCGGCCAGCTGCAGCCTGTGCTTCTCTTGGAGTCTGGGAGTGGAGCGTCATGCAGCACTTTGCATGGGAGCTGGACCTTGCAGCTGTGGCCTTCACATTCGGCAGGAGTGCCTCCTGCTGCGGGGAGCCTCTCTGCAGAGTTGGCCACGGGCGGTCTCACCTTGAAGCCCCATCGCATCACAGCTGTATATGAGC